TCTTCCAAATCAATCCCGAATAACCTAAAAACCAAAACTGACGATTCACACAAGTCATAATACATAAGATGCTACTCAAGATTTCAAATAGCTAAATGTGATGCAAATGCTCAAACTGTCCGGTCGGGTCGTTACATCCTCCCCTACTTAAACATACGTTCATCCTTGAACGTGCCAAGAGTTGTTCCAAAAGCCATCAAACTGTCGTGTAACCTTACCATGCACATACCCAGGGTGATCCCACGTCACCCTATTCCATATAGGCCTGACAACAGAACATACTAAAGATCATTACTTCAACCTTAGCCCGTAAACCTTAGAACCAAATTTCCAACATCCGGTATTTCCTGTAAGACCTCAATCTCGCATTTACACATCGTATAAGTATGAACAAGATGTATCAATCCATAACCATAACCAAGATGTAAACACATGATATACCATATAACTCGCGTACTTGTAGCAATAACTTCTGACCACAATAACTGCTCGAAACAAACCCGACACCGGTAATACACATCATATCGAACAAAACCTCGTTCTAAAACCTTCGTACACTACCAATGATGAAAGAAACACGCAGAAACTCATAACAGTTTATTAGATCAACAAGTCATGGATCTCTCTCCTTCAACAAGAATTGCAGCAAATTTTTAAGCCGATTAGCGACTTTATCCTTTCAAATATACCGCAATCAGATCCGATAGTACCCATTATAGGTCCGACGACCTCATCTTATCAAATACAGCCGCCCTACTAACATGCCGTATCAATACAACCTTAAGACACAAACCGTGCAATCCTTGCACCAATACGCAACAATGTAAACGTGCTCAAACATAGTAAATGACTCTAATGAGAGAACCGTGCCGCAAGCTCAACAAGTACCACCACCACGCAATGTTAAGAACCCAACACACACTGTAGAACCAAAACACAAGAATCTAGCATAAAGGATTATATCCCAACATAACTTCGCTGCAATGCGTGACCCATCCAAACACTGTTCCACACGAAATATCTCAAGTCGCAATGCTCAAAATCAAACAATCACGCACAATTTGATGTCTAGTACCAAAGGTGCATGACCATAACCACGGAGAAGCAAATGACACATCTCTGCACAAACCCGAAAGAACATAACCAATGCGCGATCAATCATGCAACACCCAAATACCCATCTCGCTCAAATTCCGCTATTATGCCCCCAATAAACGCACCATGTGTGCATATAACCAACGAATCACAACTCCTCGTAGCATAGAAGGGTAACTCATAAAGCATATGAAACACGAATAAGCTCAACTCCAACTGAATAGCATATCCATCAACAATAGTAGTACGGAGTCGACCAATCCGACCCGGTGTAGAATACACATCATCCTTAGGCCTACTAATGGCCCCCAAATCAACCCTAGTCATCCACAAATAGATATATATAACCCTCAGAAAGTCCAAAATGACTGGACCATAACACATACTATTATCTGGCTAGCTTTAGCCACATTTTCACAGTCCATAACCACGAAACAATCAGCTCCTGGGAACTCCTAGTCACCAAATCCATTGAACACACGAATTACCATAGCTGATCCCAATGCCACCACCTGAATGTCTAACACATCTCTCATACATGATCATCTCATGAGGAATACTTCTCTAATTCTTCCGTGCGATATAGAAATATCTGAAAATCAGCAGTCGATCAACTAAGCGAGTACCGCAATACCAATGAAGCATCTGTAACTCAAAACACAATGTCATTTTTGAAATGCACACCATTCTCAAGCAATACCAAGTAGCAATAACATTCATATAGGCATCTGAAACCGTCTTTGTTGTCTAAGAATTTATGATCTCCCCTTCAAAACCGACCCGTGACCATGCACATGCAAATCTTAATCCCATACAATGCCACATCTATCATGCCATCATAGTAAAGGTACGAGATTTTCATAATCAACTTTGATCACAAGCAAACTACATACTCAATTAGCCAGGGACCTTCCGTTTGATCTCATCCAAGAGAAAATCCCAATACGCAACATGTTCCTCACGCCTGTAGGAAATATCCACCTCGTACTGTGATAGAAATTATCGAGAAATCTTCGAAACCTATTTTCACATAACCAGACCATCAGAACCGAATCTCTCTAACTCAACCAAGTCACGCAAGTTACAAAACTCAACATTATTGCCACAAAACACCTGTAGAGACTCACCACATCATAAGTACCCAAAGAACCGATCATATCCATTACTGTGCTGATCCAACCTACTACCAAGCTGTTCTAATTCTCTGAGTTTCCTTCTGAATTACCCTCAATTTGACACTTATCCTTGCTAGAAGACTACGACCCTTAACCCAACGCTCACCATAATAGATCCTAGCATAAAACCACATTTCCCTAAGGTGCATAAGCCGATGTATTTCCTCTTAAACACCCCAAAAGTGCCACAATCGAGACACCCACTCTGAAGAGACCTTCTATGAATCTAAAGACATTTTGTTCACATTCCTGATATTGAAACGTAGAATCCATAATGATATAGAAATACCACGAGTCTCGACACCATCCAATGTAAATCTCAGATTCTAGCCATATACCAATTCGAAATTCTTAATTGCTACATATAAATCTTGAATCCATTAGAACCATTCTCGAGAGTCATCTACTCTGATCAAATCTCAATTGCACCGATCAAACGGGTCAAATGACCTGTTCCCCAACAGCACGACAACACCCAACGAAGTAACCCCGCCTTATTGCAGCCGAGTAAAGTCTTACTCCATGCCACTACATCCTTTAAGAATAAAACTCTCACTCATTGTTTCCCATATACCCATAAAGTGTAATACATCATGCATCCAGAAATTCCATTGCTTAATTCATCCTCAAAACCAACCTCTGCAAGTCATAACCGATCCACAAGTATGCCTCAGACTGAAACCGATACAATACATAACCATGCAATAAAATCGTCGACAGTAGACTCCCCCACTTGGCCCAAAGCCATAGATCAAAACACACAATAACTCACAATGCCCATACTTTATTACTGCCATAATACCGCAATGAGATTCAGCTAAATCCTTCATAAGCTCATGTAACACAAACCATCTAATCCTCAAATCACCTACTAATGTCGCATTCACTCTTGTAACAGTCAAGCCAACTCCTATAAGCGATCCTAACCCAAATTGCAACACATATAATTCACTTGTAAAAGATAACTCTCTAAAAAACAACATAAGGATCAGACGACCTCAGGACACCCCCGCAAGAGATAACCCAACTGCTTTGCCTCAAACTGACATCTCTCTATACCCTTCCACAGTCACAACTACTACGCAATAACTTAATCTTCCTGATTCTGAACTCATCAACAAGACATGAGAATATAATTTTTTCTACCTTTAACCAAAATGAAAGGTCCTTCAACACACCCATAACTCGAGACTATACATTAAATCAAGACAGAAATCAAGCACCCAATATTCTTTTTTTTTTCATCTCATGCAAACTCTTTTCTTCACATTCAATCTATCTGAACACATCCCGCAACCACATCATACTCATCATATAGCCATCCAACCATCATCGAGTCATAATTCTACTCATTGGGACAATACCGGACATATAAGTTCAAAAACCTGTCCTCACATAACTAAAATACCCGTGCTCAAGCTACAGTCGAAACCCGGCCTCAAGTCCTCTAGAGTGGCCCATCCCCAGGCACAGAAATAATGTCTCGCACCTCATCCATGGAATCGCAAGCCGTCGATGCACAACTGATATCTAGCGCTCACATGCGCATACGAATGCATGGAAGGAATTCAAAAAGTTAAGCTTTGAGCTGAATCAATGCCATATGATAAGGAATGAAAGATGGAAAATTTATCCTAAATGCCTTGTAGCCTTTCGAAGACAGGTATGGACGTCATCATACCGATCTGCAAGACTCTACTAGACACTTGCTGATGACTTGTAGAATACCAATCTGTCACGACCCAAAATTCAACTAGTCATGATGACACCTAACCCAACCCGCTAGGTTAGACAGCTAATAACTATCCAATTCCAATAATATTTAATAAGACAAAAGTAAAAGAAATTATCTGAATCTTATACATTTCTCAAGGACTGGTAGTACAAATCATGAGCTTATAAGATTAGAATTTACAAAGCTGGTATGAAATAAATACATCATCTGTTCGAAATGTACATAAACAAATTTTATAAATCTAAGGCTACCATGAACAAGAAGCAGTTACAACCAGAATTCAGGTACGTCTTCAAAATTCTAGCTCCCGTCGATCACAGCAACATCAACAACCAACATCTGCATGCAAGGTGAAGAAGTGTAGTGTGAGTGCAACCAACCCCATGTACTCAATAAGTAACAAATCTAACCTTAGGTTGAAAGTAGTGACGAGTTGGAACAAAGGTCGGATCCAACACCAATAGCCAACAACAGTTCATAACAACGTAAAGCAAGTAATAAAATAAGTAACTCAGAGATAAAAATCTCAGCTTATTTATAGTTTCTGAAAGTAGTTCCGTTTTTTCAAGTATATCGGTGAAAACCTAAGTCTTTTACCGAAATTGCCATAAATATGAGTAAGTTTGAAAACTGTAATTTTTCCCAAAAGCTTTCCACGGTAAATGTTTCATTTTTAAATGGCATGAGGAAAATACATCTCTATGCCTATATGTCAATATGCGTGAGAAGTCATGAAGGACGTGATACTGTATAGCATGAAGAAAATGCATCTCTATGCATGTATGTTAAGTGTGCATGTCGTCCTAGATGTATGTTGAAGGTGGACATGATGAAAGCCTATGACTCAGTGGAATGAGTATACTTGGAACAACTTATGGAGTACTTATGTTTTCCCACTAAATTCATACAATGGGTGAAAACATGTATGTCAACAGTGGGCTACTCGATCATGATTAATGGAGAATTGACAAAGCCTTTTGTGGCAGGGTGACCCCATGTCACCATTTATGTTTGCAATTGCCATGGAATACTTGAGTAGGCTACTTAGAGGATTGAAGCAAGTCAAGGAGTATAAATTTCATCCAAGATGCAGCAAGCTGAACATAACTCACCTCAGCTTTGCAGATGATCTTCTTATGTTTGCCAGAGGTGACAATAGCTCAATTCAAGCTTTGCAAGATTGCTTCAAAAAATTTTCTGCTGCCTCTGGTTTACAAGCCAATCTCACTAAGAGTGTCGTTCATTTTGGTGGAGTGACACAGATAGAACAGATGAAGATACTACAAAATGCAGGATATTCATTAGGTGAACTACCTTTTAAATATTTGGGGATGCCTTTGGATACAAAGAAGATAACTGTTTTGCAATGGCAACCTCCGTTTGAGAAAATAGTAGCAAGAGTAACTTCTTGGACTGCTCGAAAGTTGTCTTATGCTGGTACAGTACAATTAGTACAGGCAATTATTATTGGTATTCAATCCTATTGGGCTCAACTGTTCATCATGCCAGCAAAGTGATGAAGTTAATAGAGGCATATTGTAGAAGCTACATATGATCTGGCACTAATACAATTACAAAGAAAGCATTGATAGCTTGGGAAAAGATGTGTCTGCCTAAATCTGTAGGAGGCTATAATTTGATAAATCTTTAAGTCTAGAATAATGGAGAAATCACCAAAATTCACTGGGACCTGGCTCAAAAGGAAGACAAAGCTTGGATAAGATGGTTCATGCATACTACATCAAAGGGAAAAGTATTCTGGAAATGAATATCCCACAATAGGCAAGTTGGATGGTGAGGAAGATTATGGAGGCTAGGAAAACCATGCAGCAAGTTCCAGATTTAAAGCAAAGTAAGAGTGTTATTAGACAGATTTATCTAGGCTTACTGGGAAATCACAATAAAGTGGAGTGGAGATCTTTGATATTTCATAATGAGGCTAGACCTAAAGCAGTTTTTACAATGTAGATCCAGTGCCATGAAAGAATGCTAACAGCTGATTGATTAACCAAATGGGGAATCCAAGTAAGCCCACGATGCAGTTTATGTCTGACTGCAGATGAATCACATCTTCATCTGTTTGGTGAGTGCAACTTCCCCAGAGTAGTATGGTTGAGATTACTGAGATGGCTACAAATATGGGATACCCAATGAATCCTTGGTCACAGGTGGTTACATGGTTGATTCTCCAATCAAAAGGAAAGTCGTGCAAAGCAAAAATACTGAAGATGATGTATGCAGAATACATTTATGGAATTTGAAAGGAGAGGAACAGTAAAATATTTGAAGATCAAACAAGGATTGAAGAGCAAATTGCTAGATAAGTGGCATGGATATGCAACATTAGAGCACAGAGGGTAGTAAGAACAAAAATGCAGCAGCTTCAGTTCTAAAAGACACAGAGCAACAATTGTAAAAGACTAGAAGGCAAAGATAGTCATACAAGTCCTTATGTATTGCATATAGTATAATTATAGAGATAGAATTATGTAAAGATTATAGCAAGTCGAGGATGACTTTGCTGGTTTGTAATGACTGCTTTGGTGATTAATGAAAAATATAATTACCAAAAAATGTGCATGTCAAATGTGATGCAACTCAGTGAATAAACCATATGCATACTCTTAGAGTATCAGTTCACTCAGTCCTCCAAGTCACTCAGTCCTCACAGCCACTCAGTCCTCACAATCACTCAGTCCTCCCAAATACTCAGCACTCGACACTCGGCACTCGCACTCAGTAGGTACTTGCGCTCACTGGGGGTGTGTACAGACTCCGGAGGGGCTCCTTTAGCCCAAGCGCTATAACAAGCCAAATCATGGCATAAATCAGTAAAACAAGTTGCGGCGTGCAGCCCGCTCCCATCATAAATCAATAAAATATGCTACTGTGCAGCCCGATCCCATAAACATACTCACAATCAGGCCCTCGGCTTCACCAAGTCATCAATCATTCTAGTCTCTCTTGCTCTTAATGGTATGAAAAATCAGCCCAAAAATAATGATATGATGTATCAATAAATGGCAACAGAGACTGAGATATGATATGCATATGACTGAGTACGTAAATGCAATGTAAGTAGGTAACTCAACAGCATAAATGACCTCAATGGGTCCCAACAGGAAAAGCATGTAGCCTAGACATGGTTTCTAATATGGGTCACAGCTCAAAAGCTCTAATACGTAGAGATTTCATGGTTACAAACACGATCAGGTAACTACACAGTACCGCAGAAATAACGGAGTCACAATTCACACGATGCACGCCCATCACCTAGCATGTGTGTCACCTCAACAACAAACTCATAACACGTAATTCGGGGGTTCATACCCTCAGCATCAAGTTTAGAAGTGTTACCTCGAACAAGCCAAATCCAATACCGAGCAAGCAAAACAATGCCCCAAAGTTGCCATCACGCACATACCGACCTCCGAACGGCTCAAAACTAGCAAAAAGCAACTCAAATACAGCAAATAATGCCAAAGGAAACAAACCCAATCGATAAAGGTCGAATCTTTAATCAAAAGCCCAAAATCGGCTAAAAAGTCCAACCTGGGCTCGCACCTTGGAACTTGACAAAACTCACAAAATGCGTTAACCCATTCAATTACGAGTCCAACCATACTAGTTTCACTTAAATCCGACTCCATATCGATGTTCAAAACTTAAAAATTCGCTTTATGAAACTTTAGGCTAAAACCCTCAATTTAATCTTTTGAAATTGATCAACCAATTGCCAAAATTATGATATATTCATGAAATATATCAAAACCGAGTATAGAGAACTTACCCCAATCCACATGGTGAAAATTGCTTCAAGAATCGCCTCAACTTGAGCTCCATAGCTCCAAAAATGCTAAAATGGTTGAAACCCCCGAAATATAGTACTTATAATTCTGCCAAGGCTTCCCTCTTACGCGAACGCGGAAAAGACATCGCGTTCGCGATGAACAAAAGAAATCTGCCACCAAAATACTCTACACGATTGCATGAACAGCCTCGCGAATGAAACACCCAAGGCTCTCAAAGCTACGCGATCACGGGAACAACATCGTGAAGGCAAAGAGAAACAGCCTCTGCCCAGCTCAGTCTCATAATCACTATGCGAACGTGTGAAAGCTTGCGAGAACACGTTACACAATCTGCAGCAAGCTATGCGAACGCATCTGAGGACTCGCGAAGACGAAGAACAACTTCTCCCAGCCTTCAAACAACTCTACGCGAATGCGGACAGCTAGTCGCGATCGCGATGAAGAACTGTGACACCAGAAATCAGCAGAACACAGCAGTGCAAAAATTATCCAAAATCCTTCTGATCCTTACCCGAGCCCCTCGGGACCCCGTCCGAATATACCAACAAGTCCCAAAACACAACACGGACACCTTAAAGCACACATAAAAACACCAAAATGATGAATCTTACCTCAATTCGAACTTGATGAACTTTGAACTTTTTAACTTCCATATCTCATGCCGAAACATAGCAAATCAACCCGGAATGAACCCAAATTTTGCACACAAGTCTCAAATGACATGACGAAGCTATTCCAATTCCTGAAAATCCGAATCTGATATCCACAAAGTTAACTCTCGATAAAACTTATGAACTTTCCAAACCTTCAAACTTTCAATTTCCGCCAATTTGTGCCGAAACCTTCTAGAAGCATCCAAATGCAAATCCGGGAACACACCTAAGTCCAAAATTACCATCCGGACCTAACGGAACCATCAGAACTCAAATCCGAGGTCAAATACTAAAAAGTCAAACTTGATCAACTCTTCCAATTTAAAGCTTCATAGTTGAGAATTATTCTTCCAAATCAATCCCGAATAACCAGAAAACCAAAACCGACGATTCACACAAGTCATAATACATAAAACAATGCTACTCAAGGCTTCAAATAGCTAAACAATATGCAAATGCTCAAAACGACCGTCGGGTCGTTACATCTATTAACAAATATCGTAAAAACTACGACATTTGATACAAAATGTCACCAAAACAACGAAATTTGATACTAAGTGTCATCAAAATATGACATCTGATAAAAATGTCGTAATAAAAATGACATTAATGAAGAAATATCGTCAAAATTACGATATTTGATACAAAATATCATAAAAATAATGAAATTTGATACTAAATATTGTAAAAAAATGACATTTGATACTAAATATCGTAAAAACAACAACATTTTATAAAGAAATATCGTAAAAACAACAACATTTATAAAGAAATATCGTAAAAACACCAACATTTATGAAGAGATGTTGTAAAAACTACAATTTTTGATATTAAATGTTGCAAAAAATAACATTTGATATAAAATGTCAATAAAACGAAAAAAACAATGATATTTGATACAAAATATAGTAAAAACAGGATGTTTGAACAAATATCGTAAAAGTTATGACATTTGATACAAATATAAAAAAAAAATAATGAGTTTTACTTTAAATGTCATATTATCAGTCGATAATTACGAACATGTACATCTAATATTGAAAATTTTTGTATTTTTTAATTGTTGAATTATTCTTTTTCTAGAATCAAAATATCGTTATTTATATTATTATATTTTTTAAAATATTGTGATGTTTATCCTCCGAATAGACGAGTTGTGCAATTGCCAATTAATGTCTTAAAAGTCTTTTCGGGACTCATCCATGACTCACTCCTAGGCGAGGCACTTATTGCGACGGCTTATGTGTGAGGCTTACGCCCCAAATGTCAAATTGTGCATCCTGAACACGACTATTCTTAGCGTTCGGGAGTTACTACGTAAATCATATGTTAAATTTTATAATTAGTAATATTGACCCTCAAAATAATTTAACAAATGAATGATAAAAGTTCTATTCATATACATAAATATGAAGATTCAGATTAACTAAAATATCGAGTTTTAATATTGCATATTTACTATTTGAGTGAGAACATCATGAATGTGAATATCATTTGAATATTTCTTTTAAAAATGAATATCCGAAAAAATTATATCTTCACCTGCTATTGTACTTTATTTCTTAGCATTATGTCTCCCAAAATTATGAGACTTATTCCTTTACTACAATTGTACTTAATTATGAAGGAGTAATATTTTATTTATAGTACTTATAAAGTTTTTTAATTATTTACTTTTTGAGAGGTAATTAAATGTGTAGTTTGTTAATATTTTTATAAAAAAAATTTAATATTTTAATTATTTGAAAGTTCAGATGTTATAATTGATTTATATCTTATAATAAATTGGACACTATTGTGTTATGCATACTTATAAAACAATTCTAGATATTTTATTTTTCTATGAGTTTTTTAATTAATTTTATCAAAATTTTAATGTACTTTCTATATTATTTCATTATGTTATTTTTATAATTTATTTAAAAAAAATTAAAGATTCCCGTATTAAGTAAAACGTTAATCCTTTTTTTTAAAATGTTTCCGATTTAAAAAATTTTGACTAAAATTTCAATGTTCCATATTATTGCTAGATGTTGAATTTAAAGATGAAAA